CCTGCATTCTTTCTAATGGCCAGTAGGGTGTGACTCCACTGGTTGGATTGAGTTTATGTTCTCAATCGCTTCTTCAATACAGCGTGATGTTCAATTTGTGAATTATGGTCCAATTTAGAGGACGATAGACAAGATAGATTGACAAGTCGCTACCATGTCAACCTGTCAATCAGGCTAGAGGCGACTTGTGTCCGCTACACTATAAATTTAACCAGCGCCGTTGAAAAAGCTTATTAGTTGGCTGTTCATTTTTCCGGTAAGTACATTTTGTTTTTTGCTAGCCAAAATTAGCATCCCAGTTATTAACCACAGTTAACATGAATTGCGGATGCACCTTGCTAACCCAGCAAGTGCCACCTTCTCGTCCAAATATGGTCACGTCTGGTCAGGTGTGGTTCCAAAAAACCAAGAAGGCAATGGTCAAAATACCAGACTTGAGGCTTCAAATGGGTGACGTCACGGTGACTATGTTCACCTATTTTATACCGGCTATGGCAGATACTTGCATCCCATGGGATGGGAATTTGTTACAGCACACTTTGACTGTCCCTATAACTAACCATCATGTTTACTGTCCTTTCTACTATCAGGTGTTTTTTGTTATCCACCTCCATGCTGGCCCAGTAATTAACACCCTGCCACCCATCATGGACCCTGACCCTTTGTTGACCTGTGACCTGATGGATGGACGTGATGCCTTTCTGACTTTGGCCAGGGACAAACACTGGGAGTTCAGCTCACTGAGAAGGTGCAAATGGAGCACGATGTGTATGTTGGTAGAGCTGCACAACCAGGGCCAGGACCGCTTTGTGTACACCTGCAACGAGTGCAAGCACCACGTAGAGACACGCTGGCACTGCACTGTCTGCGAGGTAGGGAATAGTAGCACTTTCACAAATATGTTTTGAAATTTATAGCTGTATCAGTTTTGATTTTTATTTAAATCTTGACTGAAACCTAATGTGGTTTTCCTTTCCTGTCATCAGGACTACGACCTATGCATTAACTGCTACAACGTTAAGGGCCATGAGCACCAGATGGTAAAGTGGGGCCTGGGTTTGGACGACGACAGCAACGGTCAGGGTGGAGAGGCCTCCAAGAGCCCTCAGGAGAGCCGACGTCTCAGCATCCAGCGCTGCATCCAGTCCCTGGTACACGCCTGCCAGTGTCGCAATGCCAACTGCTCTTTGCCTTCATGCCAGAAGATGAAGAGGGTGGTTCAACACACCAAAGGCTGCAAGCGCAAGACCAATGGTGGCTGCCCTGTGTGCAAGCAGCTCATTGCTTTATGTTGTTATCACGCCAAGCACTGTCAGGAGAACAAGTGTCCTGTTCCATTCTGTCTCAACATCAAGCACAAACTCCGTCAGCAGCAGCTGCAGCACCGGCTCCAGCAGGCTCAAATGATGCGCCGCAGAATGGCCACCATGGCGGGAAGGGGTATGCCCATGCCATCTCCACCTACCTCAGCTGCCCCAGACACCCCCAATTCTGTGCAGCAGCCTAACACACCCCAAACCCCCCAGCCCATGCCCAACCAGCCCCAACAACAACAGCAGCAGCCACCAAACCCTGCCAACATTACTCAAGGCTTTCCCAACAATGGCCGCACCAGCCAGCCCCCAACACCAGTGCCGCAGGGTAAACCAGGGCCTCAATCATCTCCTCTGCATCAGCAGCAGTCACCTCTGCCGAACATGCCACACCAACAGCAGCCTCAGCCTCAGCCACCGCAGCAGCAGCAGCAGCAGCAGCAACAACAGCAGCAGCAGCAGCAGCAGCAGCAACAGCCACTGCTAGCAGCCCTGAAAGTGGCCAGACAGATCGAGATGGTAGCCAAGGCGAAACAACAGCAACAGCAGCAGCAGCAGCAGAATTATGTCAGGAATGGGATGCCCATGAACCACCCACGAATGATGGGGCCCATGCAGGGCCAGATGCAGATGATGCAGGGGCCGCGGGGCCCCCAGGTGATGCAGGCTATGCAGCAGGGCCAGTGGGCTCCAGGCATGCAGAACCCCATGCAGAACCCCATGCAGAATCCCCATGTTCATCAGCCACAGGTCCCTCCTCAACAAGGCCCCATGGCCCCTCAGCAGGCTCAGGGAACTCCCATTCCCCAGCAGGCCCAGCTCATGCAGAGGCCCATGATGCCCCAGCAACAGGGCCTCCAAATGCCTGGGGTCATGCCTCCCCAGGGGCCCTCACAGCAGGGCATGACACCGCAGCAACAAAACATGCCACGGGGGATACCTGGTAACATTGCTCCGAGTGCCCTGCAGGACTTACTGCGCACCCTTAAATCTCCCAGCTCCCCCCAGCAGCAGCAACAGGTTCTCAACATCCTCAAGTCTAACCCCCACTTAATGGCCGCCTTCATTAAACAGAGGACAGCCAAGTACCAGGCCAACCAGCCACAGCAACAGCAGCAGGGGCAGCAGCAGAACCCTCAGGCCATGCTGGGGTCCCCGGCAGGAATGCAGGCCATGGCAGCCATGGCAAACCAGGTGCAGAGGCCAGGTATGGCACCTCAGCAGCAGCCTCCTCAGCAGGCAGGGCCCCAGGGCATGGCAAACATGGGCCCCCAAGGCCAGATGATGAATGCTGCACAAAACGGGAATCCCCAACTGTACCGGAGACAGCAGCTGCTCAGGATGCAGCAGATGCAGCAGCAGCAGGCACAGCAGCAGCAGGGAGGCATGCCTCAGGGCCACGGTCAGTTCCCCCAGCAGCAGCCGGGGCCAGCGAGCTACTCCCAGCTCCGAATGCAGCAGCAAATGGCTATGCAGGGAGGTGGGGGCGGCATGGGACAGCTCCCTCCCACGTCCCAAATGGGCCAACCCGGCATGGGCCAACCCGGCATGGGCTTGGATGGGCCCCAGAACCTCCTCCAGCAACGCATACTTCAGCAGCAGCAGCAGCAAATGTTAAAGCAGCAGATGGGCTCTCCAGCACAGGCTAATTCGATGAGTCCACAACCCCACATGCTCCAAAGCCAAGCCCAGGGAGGAGCTCACTTGCCGGGCCAGACAATGACAAACACCCTCGGAAACCAAGTACGCTCCCCAGCCCCAGTGCAATCGCCCCGTCCGCCTTCGCAGCAGCCCCCGCATTCCAGTCCCTCCCCACGCATACAGCCCCAGCCCTCACCCCAGCACGGCGCCCTCCACTCTAGCTCTCCCCATCCCAGCCTCGGAGGCCCAATGTCAGGCTCCATGGAGCAGGGACACATGGGAACACCGGAGCAGAGTGCCATGCTCCCACAACTTAACACGCCAAACAGAGGGGGTTTGAATAATGACATAGGTATGTCGGGAGACACGCTGGAGAAATTTGTTGAAGGATTGTAGCATTTTGTGACAGAAGAAAGGCCTTGTTCTGTTTTCAGCTGAGACATTTTTGTACTTGCTGGTATAAAAAGCGAAAAGAAATACAAACAAATGCGTCATGAGGCCTATAGACTGTGAACTTTTCCGTAAACCAAGGGACTGCTTTTTCTTCCAACAGAGAGTGATTTAATAGTTGCTGTTGAAAAGAAGACAAAGAGACAAAGAATATATTTTTGGTTCAGACCAGCCATGCAGAATTTGCCCTGGTCTTTGTGTTTTATTTTGTTTTTCATTTGTTTATGCTCTGTTATTGACTTTTTTAACAAAACTTCTCAAAACAAAAAATATTTCATTTTATTATTCCTTTTTTTTATTTTGTACCTTTGCAAATTAATATCGTATTTGTGTTGAGAAGACTGTAAAATTATTTGTCTGGGAATTTTTTTGCCAGGTTTCACCTCTTGCTCAGTGTCTCTGTTCCTGGCTAATTTATTCTAATATGCCATTTTTCAAAAGGACTGCCTTTGGGAAAGCCTTAATTTCTTTCCTGTTTGCAGAGTCTATGGGAGATTAATGTATTTGTACAGATCTAGGAACTCTTGCACACACCCAAACGCAAAAGGCAGGTAGGTGTAAGAGAAACCTACATTGAAGCTTGTTAATGTTCACAGGTCCCGGAATGTTCTTTTTACTGGCTTGGGCCCAGAAATTGTCTCGCAGATGTTTAAAAAATTGCTTGGTCTCCCCCTCAGTCTAAAGAAATTCTCATTAGGTCCTCTTTTGCCTGTGGTGGGAAATTAACTTGTTTGACTGCTGATTTGTGTTCAGAGAGTTTTGTGCATCGTTTTCTCTCTTGCATTAAACTTGAATTGATGATGAACTGTTCTCTAATGTAAATCATGCAGCTAGACAGTACTGTAAATATGCAGAAAATAAGAATGAAATCACTGTACAAACTGGTTCAAATGGCTCATTTCGTACTTATATACCATATTGTTAAATAAACCTGTGTGCCACAGACTCAGCTTCTAATTTTTCTGTTTGGAGAGAACTTTGTTGTGGTCAGCAAGTGGATTGCAACTAATTATTTTCTCAATTATTAGATTAATTATTTAGTGTAATAAACCCTAGAACATATTTCCATCAGACTTTCTCAGAGCCTAAAATGATGTCCTATTTTGTGTGTGTCAGCCAGTCTAAACCCCTTAGGTGATTATGCCTACTATATTGTAAGGCAAGGACTCCAGCTTTTCACATTTAAGAAGCTGGAATCATCAACTGCGTCACATTTTTGCTTGAAAAATGACTCCAGTTAATCAAATATTAAAGACAACATCAACTAATTAGTTAATTAAATAATCGATTCAGATCAGCGTCAACATGACAAGCGTATTTACATAATTGTAAATTATTTTATTTTATCTTTATATTGCCTGTTTGACCTTGAAGAGCCAATTTAAAAACTGAAATGAATCCACTTGTAATCGTAGGAGGCTAACAAATAAACAGATTATGTATAAATTGGTACCGATGGGATTCGTGAGGAGGTTTTAATACATAACGAAATAAAACCTTGCGCTTATTTTAAACCACAATCGGTAAAATGATTTTTCCGCTTCTTAGGCAGTTTAATGGACGCTCTGCTGACGTCATCACAGAGCGCAGTCACGGGTCCTACCTGTACCACCGTCGTTCAGCGTGTGTCCCTCGGTCAGTCGACCTGTCTTGTAGTCTTAACCACCTTGGCTGTTATCATGTCCCGTTGCCTCGCGCTGGCTCGGTTCGCCCTCGGTTCCTCTCAGAGGGTTAACTCGCGGCTAATGTCATGTGCACGAGGGCTGAGCAGCCGAACTGTCTCGCGCCCCTTCGCTGGAGGTAAGCTGTGCTTGTTGGCCGGCCTGAGTTAGCCTAGCCGGCTAGTAGACAACCACAAGATCATCAAGTCAAATGCAAACTCTGTTGCGGCCAAATGTTGCATTTACCAGCCTGCAGTTTAAAACCACGAGCCGATCACGGCAGCTAGAGATGAATTTAAACCGATGGGTTTCTTACCAGACTCAGTTATTACATCATTACATCAGACTGACCCACAGACATGGTGGGCTGATCTGGTTTTCAGTGTCTTGTGATTTTATTTTTCATTTTATAGCCCAAAACAGATGAATGTAAACATTACTCGTGTACTCATTACTCATACATGCTGAGATTGTTATTGGTTGATGTAATAACTTTTATTAGCTAACTGGCCCTGAAGCCTTTTGTAACATAACTCCAATGTCTTGCTGTGTGCAGACATGTATTCTGAAGTACGAGCTAATAGGAAGTTATAGCAGTCTGAGTTAAATACAACCGTGTGTAGAGAAAAATATGGCAGTTTATGCCGTGATATGCAAAATATTTACATTAGATTTACATATGCAAAGACAATTATAGACCATATATATTGTAAAAGTGTTTGTATTTGTTAAGATAATAAGAAATTTTATAGGCTAAACAGTTGCAGCACTCCTGCTCTTCATTTTATATGGTGAAAATGACCACAAGAAAAGTTGAGCTTATTTGAGAGAAGGGACATTGCGATAAACAAAACAGACAAAGTGAAAGCAAAACAGGGCATGCAGCTTAAAGACGGCAACATATTGGTTAAACACAGTAAAAGCAGTAGTGACATACATAGTAAGTAAGTAATAACAATAATAATAATAATAACTTTATTTAGCACAATCCCTACATGGACTGTAACAGAAAGTGCTTAACATAAAAGCAGATGATCATAAATCAAACATTTAATGATAACAGTAAAAACCTGTAGTTAAAACAGCAGGATATATCACGGCCGGTTTTGCATACCAAGCTCAAGTTTGCAGGTCGTTGGTTTTCTATACTTAAAATCTGATTTTTTTAAAATTGTTTTTATTTGGGGAGTGATGGAATTTCTTTGAGTCCTGTCAGTGCTTGTTTGTATAGGGATTGAAGTGGTTTTATTGTGATATGATTGGCTTGTGACTTAAAGAAGAGGTTAGTCAGTTAACGCCCCAAGATATTTGAGTTCACTCACAACCTGCAATAAAAGCTGGCAAAGATTTTGTTTGCAAACTCTTTCCATCCATTGTTTTGTCTTCACCTGTCAGTGTGTTTCTGAACATGCGTGATTAGTCAGGTGATCTTAGAGGTTTCTCCCTTACTATATGCTGTCTGTAAGACAAATATGTCCTAGTAAGGCATCCAAAAAGACAAAAATGTCAGTGCCACAGCTTTCTTTGTGAAGCAGCCCAACCAACTGACTTGATCACCCGTTGTCATCAGACTTGCAGGTTGGACAGCAGCAGAGGTGGAGCAGTCGGCCCGGAGTGTGGAGCTCCCAGCGCGTCTGCCTCTGCTTCAGCCAGCAGTCTTACTACAGCACCCAGGAGGCCGAGAAAGAGCCGGAAAAGGAGCCTGAGGTGGAGCCTCTGCACACCATCATCAGTGATACAGAGTCGGTACAAGGTGCCGTAACAGCTGCAGACATAATTCTCCTTGAACGTTACCACACTTAGCTGATCATTTGTTAGATTTAAGATCCCCTGAGTGTTGTTCTGCCCCTGATCTACGCAGGTAGCTTCTCCAAACATGAATTCCAGGCTGAGACTAAAAAACTGCTGGACATCGTTGCCAGGTCCTTGTACTCAGAGAAAGAGGTAAAATGGTTTTGTTTAATGTGTGTGTGTGTGTGTGAGTAAGAGAGAGAGAAAGAATCTAAAACTTAAACTGACATTTCAGCTTTTATATGTAACTGTTCTTCTCCGGCTGATTCGCTGGCTTGTCCACGTCCCACCAGGTGTTCATCAGGGAGCTCATCTCCAACAGCAGTGACGCTCTGGAAAAACTGCGCCACAAACTGATTACGTCAGGGGGTGAAACGGCTCAGATGGAGATTCACCTGCGGACCGATAGTGCCAAGGGAACCTTCACCATTCAGGTATACCCATGACTGTGGAAGATGTGCAGTCTCCGTGGATTATGGTTGACTGGTGTTTTTCTTCCCTGTGTTGATTTTTGGTTAAACGTACATTTTGGAAGTTCAGGAACAACATGTAATGTGTCAGCCTTAGCTCCTACCGCACGGTGCGTTATGATGCCATAGTTGGTCCCGCTGTAGCCTTTTAAATTACAAATGTCTAAATTGTCCCAGTTTGTAAAACACAGTGGAAACTCAAGGAAGAACCATGTAACTGCAGTGGAGAGGCTTCCGGTGGACTCTGGTTCCTGGCCTGTGTTTGAGAAAGATTGCCACCTGGTGGATGAATATCATACAACACTTCTTTTTTTATGACTGACTGGGATTCTCTGAACAGGACACAGGAACGGGGATGAACCAGGAGGAGCTGGTTGCCAACTTGGGGACCATCGCCCGCTCTGGTTCCAAGGTGACTGTTGTATATGTTCTTCCACAGACTCAACTAGTGTGTCACTGTGCAAAAACAGTCAAATTAATCCAGCGTATCTGTAAACGTCACACTTGTGGATCAGTCATAATTCTGTCATAATGATCGTCTCCTCCCCATGCCACAGGCATTTTTGGATGCCCTGCAGAACCAGGTGGAGGCCAGCAGCACCATCATCGGTCAGTTCGGTGTGGGATTCTACTCTGCCTTCATGGTGGCCGACCGCGTTGACGTCTACTCCCAGTCGGCTGAGCCCGGCGCACCCGGATACAAGTGGTCCTCAGACGGGTGAG